AGGCCAACTTTGGTCCTTGCTCGCTTTCTGCAGGAGAGGCCATGACTGTGACATTTGGAGTTAAATTATCTCATAAAATGGGTTGCCTAAGTGTAATACAACACAAGACATATTGTGCTTACCATATCTCGCATAAAGTTTAGGGTGAATCCCACTGCATTCCCGAATTAGAATAGGGAAGTCAGGATTGGCTTTCTTCAGTGAAACATAGCTGTTCTTGATGAAATCCCTGAAAAATGAATAGTTATGCAATAAATGGAACCAATAAAACTGATGAAATAGCTGATGAGGCATGTACCGGGCCAGATAAATGTATCACACTACACTTGATTTGATTTACCTAAACAACCCACATCATTGCTTTAGACACACACAACTTTTCACTACACACAGGCAATTTTGTGGGTATATAATGCAGGATATGTCATGACAGTAAACATATTGTACATGGCACATCAAATTTCCACAATCACAACCTCAGTTAATCACACTTTTTGTCCAGGTTAATAACTTGAATGACAGATTTGCAGTGTGACCAGCAAGACAATAAAAACAAAAGCATATATGCACTTCACAATATCCAAATCCCTGAAATAACAACCTTTGTACAATGTAATCTCATAACCTTAAAATGGAAGTCACATGTTACTGAACCTGCGGGCCCAACATCACTCCATTGGTACATATAGCAAGAGCAAAGGCTGTTTCAAGCATATATACCTGAGCAAGAACACATCATTCAAATTTAAGCTTCCTCAGTTATTTTGAGGTGGAACAACAATGAGAGCATCACAAAAGTGAACAGAGTGTCATTTTGTTACCCATCTTTGTCCTAGACCCATGTTTTGAGACCAGACAGGCAAGTAAGCTGTACAGCATGATTTACCTGGACTGAAAAGGGTCAGAAACAGAACAGGAGTATCAGAACTGTAGTGAACTGAACTGTACCAGAAATGGTCTGCCATTTTGGAAAGAGAACCACACCTGAGAGTTTGCATGAAAGTCTGACAAGATTACAGACCAGCTTTTAAGAACTGTACTGCTTGTTGTCAGAATAATGTACAATCAATGATAGCCACAATATTACCCTCCAAAAAGGATGAAGAAATAGGCTAGGCCAGCACAGAAAATACAAAATTTTAGGCAGCCAGACATGGACTGGTCCAGCCTGTGGCTCCAAGTATCACAATCATGCTTCCATATTGCTTGCAAACTTTGGTTGTGTAATGCACAGAGACATGGACCTTTGAAGAGCATTTCCAGCCCTGAGGAACTTTTAAACCCAGCCAAGGACAAGGATTATTTTCAAAACACTCAAGATGACAGCCTCTGCCCATAATCTCCTTTTGTTTCTAATCCATGTCAACTAAACTAACCAAACACTGGCACAGCTAAAGCTACTTCACTTCACCCTAATTCAGTTGATTTACAATTTTGGGTTGTGTAGTCCCAACTAATCGCAGCTTCATTTTAAAAATGTAGGAAGCAAAACATGTGCATTTAGGTTACCACTCCTCACATCATGTGTGATAATGGCAACGAAGCCAAACAGGCACATTAACCCAAGTATTTATCAGAATAATGAGAATGAATTTGGAAATGAAACATAACCTAACCTGAGATTTTGAGACACCCTCAATATTACAGGCATTAACTCAGTAGACGTTTCTTGCGCACCAGCTATAAGCAGCCCCGACATTAAAAATTATCTGGAAGGACAAATGACCGCGACAACCCTAGAACATATATACTTAACACGGACTCCTTGAATCGCAGGCCGCGGAACTTCTGACACAAGTGAAAGCCTTAATTCCTATCAATGAGGCACAAACCTTGCCACCGCTCCAGACGCCATTTCTGCTAGCCCAAGGATGTCTATGATCTTAATGAGTCTGAATGTATAATTGTATTTCCGCATCAAGCGAGAAACACACCTGATGACGGCATTGTAGATAATCCAGAATACACGTTATCTGCACTCACGAATCGTGGTCGACTGCACAATTTTGTAGGCTTTCTTGAAATCATTTTTATTGGGCAAGGCCATAGCTTGTCATCACAGTAGGGGACGGGGAATAGACATCCTTTCCAAATTATTTTCACGATTTTCCTCTAACATCACAATACATGTCCTGTGCCACGCTTATTTTCCCGATAACAGATATTATTATCGCAACCAGATTGTCCCCCAGTATGACCCCATACCCACCCAGGCTGATATCCCCTTGTGCCGCGCCCATCCATACGTCCATCTGATCGCTCCCAGGAACCATGACATCCCGTGATGTCCTCCGACATTCTCCAATTCTCGTAGTCGCAGAGGGTCTCCGGATTTCTCCCTCCCTCCCTTCCCTCGGCCACTCTCTGGCCCCTCACCACAGCCCAAGAATGCTGCGTCGTCACAGCCCTGCGGTCGGCACGTACGAATGGGACCAGTGCGGGGGACGTGGCGTAGTCCTAATTTAGCCGTCCAACAAGTTTTCTGTTCGTAAGACAACGTTGTAGGTCTGGGGTACAGCCTGATTCGACCTTTCCCAAGTCGGGTCATGACGTTTCCGTGGTGTGAACAGAAGAGGTATGCTATGCGCCGAGGCCCCTAGTCACATTCAAAATATTCACACGCCGTCTAAACCGCCAGCAGAGCTGCAGTTCGTCATCCTTGCATAATTGAAACTGTTGCATACATTGGTTTATTGTAATGTAAAGATGCACGAAATACACGAAATGCCCTTGCACGATTCAGTCAATTAGTTGCTGAGAATTGAGCAATCAACCACTTGGCTTTCATTCAGTTGCACCAGTTGCTTCAGCAGCTAACACCAATATTAGTGATCCACAATATCTCACGGAATATAATCACCAGATTAGCACAACTTTGAAGGACTTAATTGCGCCAAGGATAACACAGATATCTGCTCAAATGTCAGCAAAATACGCCAATGCCGACCGTAAACGATGGACAATAAGATGCCACACCCATCAAAATTAGTGATGTTCTATGAGCTTCAAGATCAACAAGAGGGCATTATCTAGTTCTATATCAACTCGCAAAGCAGTAGACATTCGAGGCTTTCCTGTCCTTGTTAGCCTGTACATATCACATCCTCATTGTAAACAAGTGTACAAGACCAGAGTGTGACATGTAATTATACACATCAGCTTTTGATTGTTGTGCAGCCATACTGTATTGATGTGCAGAGATACATGTATCTTCATCTGGTTCTTTGCATATTGCAAGCAGGCCATGCAACATTGCATGACATGATATGTAAATCTCTTCTGAAAATCAAGTCACTACAAAGAAGGACTGTCAGACCGCAGCTTAGTTAGACTGGTCAGACTGCAGGGAATGTGTGAAATGCTCTGCTAAAGGGCGTCATGCTATTGAGGATGTATCGGCCGACGCCCTGCTGAAGAAGGGCGTCAGACTGCTGAGGATGTGTCGGACGACGTCCTGCTGAAGAAGGGCGTCGGGCTGCTGAGGATGTGTCGGACGACGCCATGCTGAAGAAGGGCGTCAGGCTGCTGAGGACGCGTCGGACGACGCCCTGCTGAAAGAACGGCGTCAGGCTGCTGAGGATGTGTCGGAAGACGCCCCGCTGAAGAACGGCGTCAGGCTGCTGAGAATGTGCCGGACGACGGGCGCGCTCCAGGCTCGGCCCCAGCAGCTGCTGGCGCCTCTGAGGGCCCAGGCTGCCGAGGGTCGGTTGTAGTGGCGGGGTAGGCCAAACATCTGGGAAGCCACACAGCCCGGTCAGAGCAGGCCATAATCACAAAACAGTGACAGTGTGACCGGCAATAACTCTCACACATCTGAGGACTGAGCTCAAATCTGGAGCATTAACATCAAGCCGTGTAAATGTCATGACACTACTGCAAAGAACTTGCTGCTCACCCTCTCGAAGTCACATTTATGGAACCCCGCATGAGTTCGAGCTCTCTGGCATGCAAACGCCGTCATCGGGTCAGAAAAAATCACCTGTAGGTGGTTCAACACAGGAAGGAAGCCCACCGTGTTGTAGACGGACCCTGCGGGCGCTAGGACGAGGCTGGTAGCTCCGACCACTCGGCACCGGTCCCCGCCGGCGGATGACCGCAGCAATAACCCGGTACGGGGGGAGGGCAAGCAAGGGGTCGGCTGGTCTTCCGCTATCACTGTCATGTCACTAACAGTTCAGTTCAAACGTTCCCAATGGTCTACTAAGCAATCAATTGAGGCAGGCCGAAATAAATCCGGCCTTCGGGACATCCAGGGCGGGTCGAATCCTGTCTTTTTCATACCGCCAGCACACGTGACGTCACCTGTTCTATCTCGGTGATCCACATGACGTCACCCTGCCCGTCCATGACGACCGGGCTGAGGCTGAGCCGACCCTGGCGCAGCGAGTTGCGGCTGGTGGTGACGCAGCCCACCTGGTGACACCAGCGCCATCTCGTGAGCGAGACGAGAGACAACAGATGCTAGTCCCATTGCCGAGATACCCCCATGCGCTTTTCCAATTTAGTGCCTTTGAATGGCTTTCACAGACGAGCTTGCGTTTAGAACAATCTACGACGCAAGCCTGCCCTGTTCTCTGCTGTGGTTGAATACATTATCTCCATCTCCGTTTGACGCGGCCAAAGACCGTGGCTCTGCAGTACCATGCCCATTCAGAGCCAGCTGAGAGTCTGCACACTGGACCAAGGCAGGGCCGAGCTCTGAGCCCAGACTGACCTGGTCGGTAGCCGGCTGGCGGCAGGGCAGCACCAAATACCGAGCTCTCAGTCCAGACTAACCTGGCCGGCGGCCCCGCCGGCGGCAGGGCCGTCACCACACACCGACCTCTAAGTTCAGACTGACCTGATCAGTGGCCGGCTGGCGGCTGGGCAGCACCAGACATGGCGCTATGCTGTGCTCTGAGTTCAGCAGATGAGGCGGCAGCGGTGTGAACAGGCCTGGAGACAGAGCCAATCTGAACAACACGGACAGGTCACACAGAGGACATAGAGGACGAACGGCGGCCCGTACTGCACTGATGAGCTTCAGGGTATGAGCAGGCATTGGACCAGTTCAAGATTGGCTGAAAAGACCATGCGAGCGATACTGCATGGCTGCAAGTCAAGCATCCTCAGCCTCTTCTCAGGACCAGCCAACAACAGACGACAGCCGGAGATAAAACAGGTCGGAATGTTGTGTGAACAACTACCACAGACGAGGACAGTGGTGTCAACGACCATCCGACTGGAGCTAAACAGGCTGTGTTCTCTTAAGCCACAAAGACGATTAAACGTCATCATCAGGTAAGGTAGCGCGACCTGGCTCGAACGCGGCGGACGCTGTGGGCGCTGTCGGTGCCTGCCGCCGGCCGGCCCCACCTGGTATGTTTCCCCAGAAGAAGCGGGGCCGACTCTGCGGCGAGAAGTGCTTGGCGTCGATCAGCGCCGGCTCCATCTGCAGGAACCTGCAGGTCAGGGGCCGCACTGAACAGGCCACGCACAGCACACCAGAGCCACTGGAAGGACGACCCTCCGCCGGGATCAGGACCCTTTAGGACCCTTTATGAGATCAGCCCACGGCTACCTGTTGAGGCACGAGTGACAGGAAGTTTCCCAGTAGTGACGGGTGATTCCACAGGACTCTTCACCTCAGTGCACACAAACACAGCATGCACTTATACTTGAGGTAATTCAGAAAAAAACTAAGGCTTCTGCTGTTTTGCATGCGTAATGATGGCGAGGAAAGACTACACACGCAAAGAAAATAAACGTTCTTCAATAAACCGGACGATGTAATAAAGCGAATAAACGGGCGATACTTGGAACAGGCATGACATCCACACTTGCTATAGCAATGAGACTCGGTTCTTTTTACCAGATATAACGGAAGTTTGGGATTCAATGACGCCTTAGATATCTCGCGGTGTTCAGCAATATAATCAAAATGTAATACAATGAGATAATTATTTCTAATGTTGTCTTGTTTTTTCTACACTTTCCATCGTCTACTTCTATCATAGTCGTGAGGTGCGCACTGAGCTCGTTAGGACGAGCACTCCACATTTTTGTTGCCTGTTATTACAGGTATTCCCCTGTCTACTTAAGACCGCTCAGTATCATGCATGCATGCTATAACTTGTGTCAAAGATCTGTTTCCAACTACATTTGTCTAAAAAATTATCGCATACAAATCACCAAAAATAGCTGATGACACATACACACACGCCCTTCAACGGGGAAGGACTTAGAGAGGTCCTACAGAAATGAAATCGTCAAACAGTTCACAATGATGCCTTGCGGGAAGAGTAGTCACCTGGATATCACCTTCCGGTACTCCAGAGGCATGGAGGCCACATTTTCAAAGAGCCAGAACACATGTCGGCCCTCGTTACACACTTCCACGCTACGTAGAATCCGGTAGAAATCGAAGAACAAAATGCCAGTGCCCTCGGGATCTGGAAAATGAAATATCATCATCATTAGTGGTAAGACACAACACACCTGACAGCACGTAACACCTCCTCGGTCATGTTGCTTATAGTTGCAGCATCATGGTTGGGCAGGTGACGCTGTGGAAGAACGGTCTCTGGATCGGGCGCACCATGATCGCATGGATGCCCATCTGAAAAAAAACGCGTACAGCTTCCCCACAGGGGAAACGGCTACGGCGGGCAGCACCGTCATGACCTTGCATGGTACCTTACACGTTCTCAGTAGCCACTGCACGGTTAGCAGGCGGCTGGTGCTGGATTCTTAGGGTGGCGGTAGTCGGGGCCAGTGTTGACGTGAGGCGCCAAGGCTAGTGAAGGCTGGTGACAAGGCCGCACTTGACCTTTTGTATCACACACAAGTACATTTGCGCAGGATTAAGCATTATGCACACATGCAGGTCTGTACTCAGAATATTGTATGTAGGGATCTTCATTGTAGCAAATCTTTTGTGCGACTTAACGCATTCAAAATGTGGTTACCTCGAAGTGATTTTTTTCACGCTTCTTTAAAATATCATCCTACCTTCCGTAAGTGTGACAAACATAGTACAAGAAGAAACACACGAGAACCCAGAAGAAAACGCCTCCAGGATCTGTTGTTGAGACTATTAAGTAGCATCATGCATACATCTCGAAAGCGCGCTGCATAACACTGAGACAGGAACACACCATATAAGTGGATGCACCACCATAATCATCAGAGTCAGACTTGAGGTCAACTATCCCCTCACTGACCGTAGAGGCCGCGCCGGGGCCGGGTTCACCACGCTGAGGTCGGTGCAGGGCGATCCGGCCAGCACGAGATCGACCGGCGCCAGTTCAGAGATCTGCACACAGCGGACACACCCAGCTGACTGTGCGGTCTGAGCGGGCACACCCAGCTGGCGGTGCGGTCTGAGCGGACACACCCGCTGGCGGTGCGGTCTAAGCGGACACACCCTGCTGGCACCCAGCTAGCGGTGCGGTCTGATTGCCTCCCGCCCGCTCAGGACCCTACTCTTCATCACACTGACCAAAGATGTTCAAGTTAAAAACACGTAGTTAAGATACACGTCAATCTGAACCCAAGAGCACGCACCACGCAATATGGCAACCGCTCTGAGCCTACAGGAATACACCATTTACCCCCGGTTTTTGACAACACTGACTACACTGCCATCGTCTATGACAGGAGCTGACCAAAAAAGGGTTGAACACCTCCAGCCCACACGACCGCGGCCGCACGGACATGACCTGACCTTGACATCGGTGAGCGTCTCCACCGCACCCAGCTGGGTGACGCGGGGATGGTTCATGGCGGTCACGTGGATAGCGTCCGGGTCCGTCTCGGCGGCCAGGTACACCTCCACGGCGACCCCCAGCTGGCTCAGCACCTGCATCCCTGCCGCGCAAAACCGCCCTGGGGACTCCAGCTCGGCGGCACTTTCCCAGCCCGCCACAATTGGCTTTCATCAACGTGCATTGGAAGATGAAGCCAAATCTATACTGCGTTGAATCAGTCGTAATCAACTGCAAATCAGCATGCTAAAGCAAATATCGGAGACCTCCAGTGTGTACCCCGCGTTAAGACGCGGGGGTACACACTCGGATCAAGCGACAGGCGGAAGATCGGGGAGTCTGGGACCGACGGTGAGCGGCTAACCTGTGGCGATTCCGTCGAAGAGCGACAGCACACGGATGGGCCGCCTGTTCTTGAACTGCTCCACCGGCAGGCGCAGGGTTGGGCAGGAGCGCGGGGTGAAGAGACGCGCCACCTGGTGAGCAGAGTGCAGCAGTGGCGGCGTCACTGACAGGGGAGCAGCGTCCACGCCAATAAAACGTCACCTGGCAACCCTGGCACAAGGACGGGCGCGGAAGGGAGCATGACCACGGTGGAGCGCACCGAGTGTGTGTGCGCGTGTGCGTGTGTGTGTGTGGGGGGGGGGGAGTGACAGCAAGAGAGGAATATTGTGAGATATTATACATAGTTTGCTACAGTTTACCCGTAGGCTTTCGACACTACACGCAATCTGCTTAAACTCCCAGCGTGGCGAGCCGATCCGGTATTTCAGCCTTATCTCAATGGCGGCGTGTCAAGCCCGGTTGTGCCGCGCGGCCCGGGCGGGCTGGCAGCAGGCGCGTCGCGTCTCCCGGCGGACCCGCTTCGGACGTACCCGGTGTTTCCAGTCGGCGCGACCCCGCAGCGGGCTGGCGTCACCGGACACGTGACACAAGGGGCAGCGCCAGGTGGGGAGCGCGGCCAGCCGCTCCGGCGCGCCCGCATCAATCAGCACGCTCAGACACACCGAGCAGAAGCCCCTGTGGCACCGGAGCAGAGCGTACACCAGTCCTCCGTCACAGCGACAGGCTCTCAGGCCGCTGGCGGCTGTCCAGGTTCATTCCTCAGTCGCGTGAGCACAAGTGATACATCAGAAGTAGGCGGCCTAACTCATCAGCGCGCAATGCGTTCCATATTGCGTAGTCACGTACTTCATGAGAAGTTTTGTGTAAAAAACACATATTTGCAACCTTAATGAACACAAACTTGGCGTGGGCTACGAACAGTCAGCCCAGTGATTTTACTCGTTGACATCCTTCCTAATGCACCAAGTGGTGAAAAAACTCGTGAAAATAACTACCGTCCGATCAGCACGTTTGCATGCGGTGGGGCCAACTTCCGTGACGTCATCGGAGGCGAGCGGAGTCCAAATGGGTCACTGACCTATTGCAGGTCATCTCGTCGCAAATTAACAGCTGGCCCAGACGAGAACAGACCACGCAGTAGGGCTGCAAAATAGCCAGAATGGTTGAGGATAAAGCCGCCGCCTTTTTGTCACATTGTCATTGTCGTACAACAGCCCAATATCAAAACACAGCCCGAAGTGCATATGACAGTGCAGGATGTAGGAAAGATCTACCGGAAAAGACGGACGGCGGTGACGGCTCCAGTACCCAGTCCAGACACACTCACAGTGCTGCGACCAGCGCCACTCACGCTGTTAAGGTCAGCGTTCTCACGGCGTTGCGACCAGCGACACTCACGCTGTTAAGGCCAGCGTGCTCACAGTGCTGCGACCGGCGCCACGCTGTTAAGGTCAGCGTGCTCACGGTGCTGCGACCAGCAACACTCACGCTGTTAAGGTCGGCGTACTCACAGTGTTGCGACCAACGACCTTCACGCTGTCTAGGTCAGCGTGCTAACAGTGCTGCGACCAGCAACACTCGTACTGATAAGGTCAGTGTGCTCATAGTGCTGCGACCAACGACACTCACGCTGATGCCGTCCTCGGCGATGGCGAACATGGTGTCGCGGATTGCGTCCTGGCAGGGCGCGCAGAGGCCGCCCACCACCAGCGGGTGGCCATCGGCGACCTCCGGTGAGCCGCAAGCCACACACACCGCCTCCAGGCCGGCGGACGGGTCGGCCGTGCGACGCAGCCACTCGGCTGAGGGGAGGGCGTGAGCGTCAGGCGACCTTAGGCCACAGGATGACGGCCGTCAGGTGACGTTTGGTCACAGGATAACGACCGTCAGGCGACATTTGGTCACGGAATGACGGCCCTCACGTGACGTTCGGTCATGGGATGACGGCTTCTTCTAGCTGTGGATACATTGCAAAGGCCAGATGCCGTTTGAATCATCTGATGTGTATTTGTACCCAGTGAACCACACGAAACCCCGTCTCGTAGACATAATCTGGCATAGTTACTGGTGACAGCATTCACGGCGGCTGACTGTACCACCCCGTCCCGCTTCCGTCCTGTGGTCTCCGTCGTCAGAGGCCCGCCTGATACTGACCTCTGCCGTCGGGGGGCGGCGAGTGACTCCTGGCCGGCGCCGGCCGCTCCCCCGGGCCCGGCTCGTCCCGGGCCCGACGCTGGCTCGCCGCGATACCCGCCAGGTGGGACAGCACGCCAGCCGGTATGCTGACATCTGGCGGCGGCAAGGGCGTCAGCCTCCCCAACGCCATCTGGAGCATCCGGAGCCATCCGTTCATTGGCTCTTTTCACATGCCAATGCGACTTCATGGGCATGATCGGACACCACTTATGTACATTAAATTAGAAGTCATAGCAATTTGTGCCTAAATTTTAATCACATGCATAACATGGCCCGTCCATAAGCTCCATCCCGCATTGTGGTCACCTTCAGCCCCCTCCCCAGGTTTCCCACTGGACACGCACCGATTAAAGACAGCATTCTTTTGGCCCCTAGTTGAGCAATGGCCCTTGAGACAAACAAACACGAGTGCTGCTTGCCATGAGAGGAAGCCAACAATATCCGGCATTGGTGTTTAAGACATTTTAAAAAGACAGGCATGATTTGAGACCACATCTGAGCATAATATTTTGTTGTTCCCCTGTTCCGTCCCGGCAACGTTTCATTAACCTCCGTCTCCGTCCACGCGTAACGTAACGTACAGACGACCCCCATACTAGATTCACAAGTAACCCGCTAAATGCAAGTGCTCCTATTCACACAGGAAACTGTTCTCGTTTAATGTGTCCAATGAGGTGAATACTCCGAGACAGATTAATTACGGAATGCTGCACAAATCGACAAACTAACTCGAGTAACGACACGAAGTCATGCATTCTCCAAATGAGCGACTGCAGCAGCGTGACATAACGGTAGCCCATTCCATCCCAAGGCCTGTTTGCAAGAAGTAAATTCAGTCCCGACTATACAGCGTCTGCCTGCAGCAGCCGCGCCGACCACCAGCAGCCGGTGCGCCGACCACCTGGACCGACCTTCGAACGTGAGCCCGTCGTCGATGGCCGACTGGCCCCAGCTGATGACCTGGTGAGTGGAGCCGGCCACCGGATCCAGCCCCAGGCGCCGGCGGCACTCCTGAAACACGGCGCTCCATGTCGATCGTGTGCGCGATCAGCGGTCTCTCACGATTTCGAGTACAGCCACAGGACCGGTCTAATCTACCACAAGGGAGCATTCTCAGGCCCGGGAGAGAAATAAACCGACGGACAACACTCAGCTCATGTAACATTTAGACACCAGCAGACGCGCTGTGACAATGGAACTGATCTCATCATGAATGGTGGAGTTCCGAATCGCTGTTGCGTCGTTGACATTCAGTCATTTGGCCGGTCTCGACTTCAAACCGGACACCATTTCGATGTTATTTTTTAAATTGGCTGGCAAACAAAGCCCACGCCTACCATCACGGCATTAGCACATGGTCATGAATGTCAGAAACTTACAGCACTAACATCCGTTCCTTTTAAATCCTCTACTCACGGGCGAATACAAGCCAAGGACACCATGCATGACACGCGATGAGTAACTCTGCCGGCAGAAGCCAGTCCCCGCGAGACCGCCTCATGGGGCCGGGGTGCACAGGATCGAACACCACGCACACCGCTCCGCCATCAGCCAGCGGGCCAGCATAAGCCGGCGCCGCTGACGCCAGTCCCTCACCCGGAGTGCCTCGACCAGGCCCAGCTGGTACGCCTGCAGCCGGTAGGCGGGCTGCACCAGCGAGCGGAAGCCGGCGGCGAACTCGACCACGCGGTCCCGCACCACCTGTCGCCATCGCGGGCAGCACTCCGTCGGTGACAGTACGAGGACAGGTGCGCACTGGTTTGTCTTAGGTGGTTTGTCCCATAGCTCACGGCGCGGACAGCTCAATGCTCGGCCTGTGCCAATCAGTTCAACCAGATTTTGTTAAGCATTCTACGCCCAACCGCGCAAACCTCACGACTGAATTGATGCTCATATTCTGTCACAATTTATGATACAGGAAGGATATGACGCACGCGTGACTCCCGTCGCAAATGTGGATGTCTAAATCAACCTACGCAGGCGGTTAAGGGCGCAGCAACGTTTCCTACCAGACATTCCGAGATTTGCTGACAGTCTGACAAGAATGACTGATTTAACCACATCATATTCCTCCTTTGCCGGCGAGAAGACATAGAACGGCCCGGATGTTACCAGCCGAGCGGTCCGGGGTGCCGGACTTCGAGCTAGACCAGGTCGGGCTATAAGCAACGACACCTCCTAACCGTTTCAAACAGAGCCGTGAACAAAGACGGCCGGACCGTCGACCAACCGATGCTTCTAGGGACGGGCAAACCATTACATCACCTAGGGGAGAACTGCACTGTATGAGGACATGGGCAGTATCCTGCCCGAGCTTCCTGCCAAGCCCGAATATATAATAATCCCAACTACGCCGTTTCCACACCTTGCACACTAACCAACGTGCCAATTTTCATAGAGGTGAAGTCAAACGGACAAACTGGAAGACACGAAGGCTCACTCAGCCCCCCCCCCCCCTCTCTCTACTCCCACAATGCCGTGCGAAGTTGGTGCGGCGGGCCCGACCTGGCCGGGCAACGGGTTAACCTTCTTGCCGGCTTGACAAGAACCCAGCTGATTTTTTCGGAGCTTTTTGTTAGGGCGGACATCTTTCTAAGCATGACTGATCGGTCCGAAGCATAACCACGGCAGGCTATCGAGCTCTGGCCTCATCGTCGAAAGTCTGCAGGGACAGAATATAGCAGCTCAGCAGCCAACAAGCGCGACCGGTATATTTCTGCACCGAGAGCAATTTTTTTTCTATCCAGTGAGTTTAGGGGTCTCACACTGCTACTACAGTAAAAACTATAATTGCCCGTAGCAATACCGACGGACATTCTGGGAAGAGTTGCATGGGATAGACCTGAAATTGGAATCAAAATATCCCGCAGGACATTTACGCCATGAGCCGCATGACTGATATGTCTCGATCTTAACACTACACCAAAGCATGGGTAGCTCAGGTAGTTTTCAACCTTGAACGGAACGATCTCATCTTAGCACTCTAATTCCGTACAGACAATATATTAACTGCCTCGCCGTGGAGGTGCCGTGACTTCCCACCTCTGAGATTCGGTGATCGCCAAACCAGTAGACCCAGGGCCGGTCCCTGGAGGCCAGCATACCACCCCGCTCGCCTTTGACGAGCATCCCTGGCGGCCAGCACAGAACCACACTGGTCGCGTTTTCAGCACAGGGAAGGAAACATTCTGTGACGCCGAAACCTTTTGCTCGCAGCAGCAGTCGGTGGAGGAACTTTCCCCGACAGACCATGTTTTGGCTAGATAATTAACCTGAATATGCAGTTGATAGAAGAGTAGAACACATTTTAGTAGAAACCGTGGCACCATGTTGTTACAATAACGACGTCCCGAGGCCGTATCTGATTTTTTTTTAGCGATGAGCGATTGTGTCTACAATCAGATTTCATTGGGGCAAACTTAAGGATCGCCTCTATGGTTCGTGGGATGTTTTACACTCCAAACATCTAGACAAACGATGCACGTAGCACATTGATAACGGCACTTCTCAAAAGTTTTCAGGAAGACTTTGCAGCACTGCGTTGCGCTGTTACATACCTGGCCACCACTTGGACGCGCCCAGCTTGGCCCAGACCAGGGAGCCCTCTGTGAGCGCCCCCCAGACGCTGGGGTCGAGGCCGGCCTCGCAGGCCTGATCCTCGAGGCCTGCGCTTGCGTTCGGCGGTGGCGGTGTGGCGTCCCTGTCGGCGTGCTCCGGCCGACGCGGCCGCGGCACGGGCGTCGCCGGTGACCGCGGTCGGGGCCGCCGGCTGTGTCGGCTCCTCAGCCGCGCGACGAGCGCCGGTCCCGCCTCGGGTCGCCGCCCGCGCCGCCGCGCGGCCGACGGGCGGGTCGGCAGCCCGCGGCGAGCGGCGGGCCGGCCGTCCTCGAGCCGGACCGGCGCCGCGGGAGCTCGGGACCCGCTGCACCGGACCGGCGCCGCGGGAGCTCCGGGTCCGCTGTACCGGGCCGGCACAGCGGGAGCTCGGGGCCCGCTGCATTGGAGCGTCCGCCGCCGGCTCCGGGCTGCGCTCGCGCCCGCCGCCCATCCGGATGAGGAAGAGGTCGTGCCGGAGCGGCGGCAGCGACGTCGTCGAGAGGTGGGTCAGTGCCAGCTCCTGCCGAAGCTGCACTGTTCGCTCCTCCATCTCCATGCGGTCTGCCCGAAGGAAGTTTAGGACACCTGCTGCTGTGCTATGCAAGCATGCAACAGAAACACGGGCAGCATTTTATCCTTATTCCATTTGTATGCCAACAAAATTATAAATGAGCAACTCACACGCAAACCATGCACCAAGCACACCACAATGAGACAGACATGAAAATTTGCAAAACCAAACCTTTCATAAGCTGTAGTCTAAGTGCCACCTCTGTCAGGTGCACTTCCAGTTCTTCATACTTATCTTCATTGTCAGCAAAGTCACAGGGTGTGTTGAATGACATATATTCATCTCCATCTTCCATGTTTGAAGTTTTTATACCACTCTCCATGCATTCCATCTCTGAAGTCAGTTGTCTGTCACAAGGGCATCTTCAGGGTGAGGGAATGAAATCAGTACAAAAGATCAGAGAATCAGAGGATGAAATCAGCACAAATGACAGCTGCACTTACTAGAGTAGATGAGTCATGATCTGTCATGAAAACAATATCTCGTGCAGGATTTACCTAATTTTGGTTAACATGCAAAATCGCAAACCAACTATCAACAGCAGGATCATATGATATGTGAATGTATTCACATCAACTCAGGCCATTCCAGCTGGTATAAGTCATAAATATCACATTTCTCTGAATTAATTTCCAGTAATTGTGCAACTCTAGCAGAACACATTAAAAAACCAAGTTTTATCCTAACTATACAAGAAGCTTTTGCAGCACTATATTTTTCATCTTACCAGTTCATGTAAAAACAGGAATAATTAGTCAGTCTTGGCTCAATATCAACATTGCTTGTCCCACTCCTTGATATCAACACATAAGCATATATTACATCTTGCTCACAGGACTATCAGATAGTTATGGGAGTAGCCTCATACAAAGACATACAATCCATTTTCTCAATCTACACTATGAAGTTTGTTACACATTGTTCCCTAATTGAAAACATATCAACAGTTGATGTGATGGAAAATGCATGAACAACAAATGCTAAAAATAATGACTTAATACCAGGTATTCCATACTAGGACACCTCCCTAGGCATAACATGTGTTTCACGATCCGATCAGAAATTTTGCCTTAGGCTGCACATTTATTTTTCATCTATGTAAATTAACTTGTGATCTATGCAAACCAAAGTCATAACTACAGCCAGACGAACTACATCGACGGTGTGGGGACCTCGTGCTTCCTAAATGAAACTAAATCAACTTAAATTTGTTAGGCAAATCATTCAGCGATGGCATCAGTCGACGAGATAGACTTTCTGCATACCTCCAGCACGTTCAGTTAGTTCAACGTCGTAAAAGTCGCAGTAAATTACGTTCTCCCCGACGCCTACAAACCCGCCCATTTAGTATCAACCGAAGCTGGAAGTCTTGCCGACAGTCTCCCAGCTGATTGTGTGATAACGCCAGCATGATGTCATCGTATTATGACTAAGAATATTATCACCACAACAATCACAATATTATGACTTCGTTATATATGGCCACAGATCGTTGCCAACCTGCGACAGCGCATGCTGCCCCCAAACCCGAAAATCCCATAATGGCATCTGGGCGCTTTCTGGTCATAGGAGTGGGCACCAGCACGCAGACGATGACCGAAAAGAACCGTTCGGCACAGAACCGGACCGGCCGGAACTAGACAGAACGTCATGAAGCAAGACGGGACCGGATGGCACCACTCCAAACCAGACCGGGCGGGACCAGACCAGACGGGACCGGACAGAGCCGGACAAGATCTGATGGAAATGGGACCGGACGGAAGCGGACAGGACCAGACGGGATCAGACGGAATCAGAAGACACCGGACGTGACTGGACGGAACCGAACGTAGCAGAATGGACCAGCGGTACCGGACAAAACCATAAGAGACACAGCAGAACATGACAGGATTGAATAGCGCCAAAGTGGACTTAAAGCGACCAGTTGTGACAAAACGGGACCACCGTGAACCGGACGGAACCGGGCGGGACCTCGGAACCAAGAGACGGAACCAGACGGGATGAGACCGAAGCGGACAACACTAAACCAAATCAGACAGGACAGGGCGAGACCAGATCGGACGGGATCGGATTAAATCGGGTGAGACATTAGGGAACCAGATGGGATTCGACGGATCCGGATGGAGCCGGACAGGGCCAAATGGAATCGGATGGCATCGCACGTGACCGGATGGAAACGGACGAAACATAACCAAACCAGACGGCAACGGACGGAGGGACCTGACCGAACCGGACGGGACCGGACGGAGCCGGAAAGAACCGGACGGCGCCGGACGGGGCCGGACGGATTCAAGCGAAGCGGAGCTATGCGATTTGCTCAATGTCGATTGAGAAGTGGATCTTTTAGATGTACCTTGTACGGTCACTGACCTACGACAGGTCAATGTCAGGCCATGGATTCAGAGAAGACAATTTTTAAGGAGTTGTTCAATCCGGTGCAACAATGTGTGTCAACGATGTCGGATGAAACCATTCACTTCTGTGATAATTCCTTAGGCAACACAACAGCTGAATCAACAAATTTCATTGACTTAGTGTCACGCTTGGAGGTCAGAACAAGGTGAAAACCAAGGTGATTTGTCTCTAGAGCCTCTAGTTCCTACGCGATAGTGTCTGATACTCATTCTGGACTTACTGATAATGGAAACCGCAAGATACATTTTATATGAATTTTTGAGAGTTGAGATTTGGTCTCTGACCTAAGATAATCCAGGTCCACATTTTGTTATTAGGAGCATACCACTTAGCGTGATTCTTGACGCTAGTTGAACGCAAAAATCAAAGCAGTGCTATATGATTTTGATCACCACGACCTTCTCTATGTCAAAAAAGGTCACTGAACTTAAATGAGCACCAGTGCCTTTTTGCTTAGGTTTAATAGATATATAGGTTTACGGTGGCTGCATGAGAGAGTCTGGGCCACTTTGGATACCGATCTGGATTTTGACGTTGTTTGACCTTGAGGTCATGACATAGGAACCTTGAACTTTATCACAAGTGAGTTCACGTATAGGCCAACACACCCCATAACTTTGGTCTCTCTAGCTCTCTTAGTTTCTGAGATCTCAGGGGGTGAAATAGACCTCCACCCGAGCGAAGAGTATTCAACCGGCCACCCGGGCGCGTGTTAGTGTGTGGCTGTGGTCAAGTTACCACCACCGGACCTTCTCAAACGAAGTGTTTGGTGTTTGACATTAAAGCATTCTTTCTGGCCTATCATGGTCGTAATAGTGAGGTATAGTGGGGACAGTAGAGACAAAATAGCATACATTGCCTCTTAAATGACCCATCAAATAAAAGCCCGCACAGTCTAGGGTTGAATGGTCTCACAAGATTAGTTGGGGGAGGAGGGATGATCACTGAAAATACCCCCCCCCCCCCACTTGCGTCAACAAATAGATTTCTCCACGGATTTCACCCGCTCCCCTTTCAACGTTGGGGGGGAGGGCGTTATGACATTGCGATCGCCGGGTGCACGCTGCACCTCCTGCCTCGCGACTGCTGTAGGTCAACGACCTAGCGCCTTTTGTGAATCCATCGGAGCCCATGAAATCCCCGTTGTTCAGCGCACAATAAACCTCATGTGTGGGACATTTGCGTTTGCGTTTGAGTGTGCCTAGTACGCGCCACGGGATGTCACAACATTTTTGACACCACCCGATGCCTCGATGGCTTTGATGCGACTCGACTCGAACCTGAGATCATTATGTATTGCGTGCGTGCACGGTGCACATCAAAACGACCTGTTACTTGGGAAAACCGCGCAAGTGATAATCCGCTCTGCGACGCCCTGGCTCGTTCTGGTCCTGCTCCGTTTTGCTGATGTGTCGGCAGCACTTACTTCCTCCCGCTTGCCTCTTCCGTATACAATGCGCATTTATTGTGCATGCCAATCTTGTGTTCAAAGCAGCAATTACCGGGAAGTACAGTTATGAAGCTTTTTTAATTCCGCAGCTTCGTAGCACATTTTGTCACGTGTGGCGCTTTTACACTTACATGGATGTATACGCCTGCACGCCACATTCCATTAACAGACAAGGGCGCATATAAGAGATATGTTTTCACCTGATTTCACCTGACGTCATGACGTCATTATTGGCTCATGCGTGCACGAAGTCTTTGCACATAGTGCGTTCATGCATGAGTCAATAATGACACCATCCCTATTAACCGTGCTCATACTTTTCCATAACCTACTCCTTGAATTGTGATGGTCCTGATTCGTGCGCCTCCTGGCACACGAATCACCTGGGAGGCGCAAGGAATGCATCTGTGCCTCCTGGCTAGGCAGCCCCCGGAAACGATTTCAAAATTACGAGAGGGGGAGGGGATACAAAAAATGACTTGTCGACCCGCTTCCCATCGTTCTCCCCAGATTTCAGACGCTGTATTCTTCTTAGGTATGATGCAAAAGGTGACTCGCATTATCGAACGTTTTCGGCGACGTCATCGCACTCCCGCGGATGAGGTCAGCTGTAACCAATACCGCCAGATCTATTTTCCTTGGGGCAGAATATTTTCGCACTAAGTGTATGATGCTGTTTTTGCATGCATGTTTTGATCACATTTACTTAGTTGTTTATGATGACGGTGGAAATCTGACACATAAACGTACCGTACGATCCATGCCTTCATGGCTGAGAGTGTTCCGGATCTCAACCAGTGGCAGCTCTACGCCGGACCCATGCCATACCCTTTCATAATCCTGACAGCTAAAAGCTCGCAACCGAAATGTAGGACGCCAAGAGTCTGCGTTGACCGCGTATTGCAAATGATCATGAGATGGCTCTTGTGATGTTTGTCTCATTATCTACCGCACCCAGTGGCGGATT